AATTTGAGTATTGGTATCCATTTGATCTCAGAGTTTCTGGCAAGGATCTCATTCAGAATCATCTTACCTTTTGCATATATAATCACGCAGCAATCATGCCCAAGCACCACTGGCCTCGAGGATTCAGATGCAATGGACACATAATGCTGAACTCTGAGAAAATGTCAAAGTCCACAGGGAACTTCAGGACGGTTCGCCAAGCTATTGAGGAATTTTCAGCTGATGCTATGAGATTCTCTCTCGCAGATGCGGGTGATGGTATGGATGATGCCAACTTTGTCTTCGAGACAGCAAATGCTGCAATCTTACGTCTGACAAAAGAGATTGTGTGGATGGAAGAGCTTTTTGAAGCCGAGACATCTTTGAGAGCTGGTCCCCCTTCCACTTATGCAGATCACGTTTTTGCAAATGAAATGAATATAGCGGTCAAGCTGACCGAGAGGAACTATAGTGAGTACTTGTTTCGGGAAGCTCTGAAAACTGGTTTCTATGATCTTCAGGCTGCAAGGGATGAATATAGGCTTTCTTGTGGATCAGGGGGCATGAACCGTGATTTATTGTGGTGGTTTATGGATATTCAGACGCGTCTAATAGCTCCAATCTGTCCGCATTATGCTGAATATGTCTGGAAGGAGCTGTTGAAGAAGGATGGATACGTCGTAAAAGCTGGGTGGCCTCAAGCTGATTTGCCAGATCTCACTCTCAAAAAGGCCAACAAATACTTGCAAGATTCAATTGTATGTATGAGGAAGCTTTTGCAGAAACAGATTACAGGTTCAAAAAAAGGTAACGTAAGTATACCTAATAGCCAAAATAAGCCAACTGTTGGTCTGATATTTGTGAATGAGCAGTACGATGGATGGAAAAAGGAATGCTTGAACATACTTCAGAAGAAATTTAACACTTCAACACGATCCTTTGCACCCGATCAAGATATCCTTTCTGAATTGCAGAAAAGTGCACTTGGACAGGGAGGCAATTTCAAACAAACACAGAAGCTATGTATGCCTTTCTTGAGGTTCAAAAAAGACGAGGTTATGGCTGTTGGAGTTCAAGCATTGGATCTGAAGCTGCCCTTTGGTGAAATTGAGGTTCTGAGGGAGAACTTGGAACTGATCAAGCGACAGTTGGGCCTTGATCGTTTGGAAGTTTTATCTGCTACAGATGCCAATGCTATCGAGAAAGCTGGGAATCATGCCACCCTTCTGAAGTCTAATCCACCATCTCCAGGAAATCCTACTGCAATCTTTCTGAATGAATGAACTAATTTTGCAGATATTAATTTCTCAGAAGTTTTTTGTTGAATTCTATCTTATTATATGTTCTTGGTAAATTTTAATGTATGCAAATCTGGTATTTGGTTCCTGCTCTCTAGAAGGGAAAGGAAAAGAAGGAATTGTCTCGTGAATTGAGTGACACTCATGTCATGAACGTTTATTTTCAATTATGAGACATTGCTTTTGTGCGTTTTGTATTTTCTGCAAGTGTTCCGCCGATATTTTTCCTGAATATTTTGCGATTTTTTCCCTTGGAAATAAAAAGATTGCGGTTTGGCTTTCAGTGGAACAATTTTACTTTGCCATTGCTTCCAAGTAGTGGATTTCTTAACCGGATTTTTCTTTCATTGATTCTATAAAATATTGGAGCATTTTTAAGAATGTCCAATTTTAAGGGTATGAGTTGAAAAGCGTCAACTCATTTGAATTTAGTGTCAATTGTCTATTATGCCTTTAATGAAAAACTACATTTTGAAATGGTATTCTCGACATTTTAAATGTTGTTTTAGACGTTTGAATTTTTTTTTTTATCAATTAGTCACGAATTTTGAGAAGTGACTTCGATTTCGCTGAGAAGCTACATTAAAATAATGTTTCTTGACATTTCATATGTTATTCTCGATATTTGAACATAGTTTTATTTATCTAGAATGATATTTCATTTTGAATATGATATTTCTCTACATTTAAAAATTTCGTTTTCTACATTTTTGAATCAATAAAAAATATAGCATTTATTATGATTTGACATGTATACTTTTTGAAATAAATATGCCAGGTTATGTGTCAAAATTTTATTGGTCAATAATAATATTACAAAAATGTCCATTTTTTGGTCTTAGTGTGGAATTATAAATTGTTGATAAGGGTATTTCGGCTTAAATTCTTCAAAATTAGATATTTTTGCAATGATGAACATTTTTACAAATGACTAGATAAAAAAAGACATTTTGTGAAATTTCCTCTAAAATATTTAATTGTCTGTGTTCCTGCCCTCATGGTGAATGACATATGATTGCGTCAAAAATTAACGTGTCTTGTCTTGATAAAGCATGTGCCTCATAAGTCGTAGATGTTCGAGCAAAATTAGCTTGTCTGCTAATGAGGAACTACTAGAAAAGAGAAAATTGCAGTGGAGGTCATATACCTTTTAATTTGTTGCAGACTACATCTTAATTTTTTATTTTTGCGACCGCAGTTCCACATCTTTCACTTTGACTACAGTTGAAGTTCATATAACATATTCTGTACACAATTCTGTTAGTCAATACTCAAATTCAAATTTTGACTCAAGTCAACAAATTACTCAAATTCAAATTTTGACTCAAGTCAACAAATTACTCAAATTCAAAATTTGACTCAAATCAACAAATTAAGCCCCTTTTTTATCTCCATTTTTGGGGGAAAATATATTATGAAATGGTGATTTTTTGGAAAATGTAAGGTTAAAAAGTAAAAAAAAAAAATCGAAATACGTGTATTATTATTTTATGAAAAAATGTGTGATTAACAATGAGAATTAAAAAAATAAATTTTTGAAAAAATGGGGCTCGAACATGGGCTAAATGAAGAGCAAAATAGTATTTTTACAATTTCTTTAATAAAATGATTAAATAATTAAATAGAAAACCAAAAACAAAAAAAGGAAAGAAAAAAAAAAGAGTACTGTTAAAACCAAAAATCAGGAAACCCAATCACACCTGTCATCGTCGTCACCAATTCGCCACCACAAACCACAATCTCTTTAGCTTTTTGGGAAAAGAAACTTGAACACCAATCTCTTCAACTTTTTGAACTTTCACCTCCAACAATCAAAGATCAATTGATGCTTGAGAGAGATCCACATGGAGAGGTCCAGGAAAATGCTTTCACCGTGTCAATGTTTAAATCCATATTTCTATATTATGGCATGTAGGTGGGTTATTGTTTAATCCTCCTAGATTGCCAAATTGAGACAGAGAAAATGCTCATTCAAATGGTTGAATCTACCCCAAAAACCATTTCATCTATCCAACATCGCTTCTCATTGAAGAATGGACAAATATTGTCTCGTGAAGAATTCTTCACCATAGCATTCAATTCAAGAACTAGAATCAATACCTTTTTAGAAACACCGGCCAAAATCAAGATACCCCCACTATCTCTACATGGAGAATCATTCAAATCACCAGCTTTAGGAAAAGACTCTGAACTCCTTGATAAATCTTTCATTAACAAATTATGTGAAAACCTAGGTAGATTCAGTGTTCTAGTACCTCCAATTGCAACCCTAACTGCCATGGTGGGCTGGATGCAGTTGTTTTCAAGAGTACTAGAGAGGTGGAGCGGTTGTTGAAGAGTTTGGAAGAATTGAGATTGAGATGGGGAATAATTAGATAGAGATGTCCAAGAATGGTGGTGGCTATGTATTAGGGAAGGGTGGGGGGTGTGGCAATGATGGGTGCATCGATCGTGACTAGTTTTCTATCTTAAGGAAGATTGGGAGTAGGAGTGAGTGGGTGGGGGAGGGGTGATGTAGGGAAGATGAACAGTACTTCTCTCTTCCTCTTTTTTTTTTTTTTTATTTAATTATTTTATTATAGAAATTAAAAATATATCATTTTGCCCTACATTTAATTCATCAGTTTGAGACAAAATTTCAATTTCAGTATTGACTAATGGAATTTGAACGGAATCTTTTATTAGACTTCAGCTGCAATCAAAGTGAAAGGTTTAGGACTGCAGTCATGGAAATAAACGGTTAAGGTGTAGTTTGCAATAAGTTGAAAAGTTTGAGAACTTCACTGCAATTTTCTCTTATAAAAATATCGGTGCAGTTCTGAAGCACAAGTATTGAGTACATTGTGACAAATGTCCAATTCAATAGGAACTTGAAGTCATTGCGACTGAGCTGAGGCAGTGGTTGACCTAACTATTTTCCCCAAAAGACAAGACAGGCAGACATTTGGGGGAACATTTTTTCAACTAAGCCCCCCTTTGGTTTCTATATCATAATTATTATTTAAAATTAATTTTTCTTTCATTTTATGTTTTTCAAACTTAAGAGGTGTTTGATAGATATTTTTATATAAAAATATATTTTAGAATAATAAATTAATGTGAAATTTATGGTTGAAAAATAAGAAATTTTTTTTAATTTATGTGTAATATTATTTTAATAAAAAATGTATGGTTGAAAAGAAGAGAGAAAAATACATTTTGAAGAAAATGATTATCAAACGGCTCTTAGTACAAACACTCATTAGTTTTATGATTTGTCAACCCTTGCGTGCCAATTGTAATGTCATGCCCCCAAGCCGACACAAATTCTTGTAATCCTAGTAATGTTGCACAACTTATTTTTGCATCTATAGTATTTTGGGTTACATCAAAAAATAGATCCCTTCCATCAAAAGGGATCTTAGATCCTAGTACTCAAACAAATATTAATTTATTTTAAGGTAATGAAGTAATAAAGCTGCTATTATTATTATTTTATTAATTATTTTAAACAAAATCAACTCACAGCTACTAATAATTGTGTCCAAACAAGTCATGAATTAAAAAAAAAAAAACTTATTTACTTGTAAATTTTCAAGATTAGTCAAACATGCCGACTCACTGATCTTGCGTTTCTTTGTTAATTCAACACGTAACTTCTTTAACTCGGAGTAATATTAGAACAAGAAAACTGTGTGTCCAAAAAGAAAAAGAAAAAGAAAAAGGTGCCTGCTTCTTTGTCCCTATTCTACGGAATCTCTCCAATAAAGATTTCCCCCCCCTCTCTCTCTCTACAAAGCACATGAGAGAGAGTGAAGAAAAAATGTCACAATAGGTTTCATTATCTGTTGAATGAAGCATTTGTGTTCACACTCTCACGCTCCCAGTACTTCAATTCCAAGAACCCACAAAACAGCCCATGAATATATTCAGTTCTGTTTACACACACATATGTAGAGAGAGAAAGAGATAAAGAGAGAATTGGAAAATGGGAATCACTTATGAAGATGCAGTTTTGATTAAAGAAGCAGGGAGAGAAGGCGAGAGCACAGTAATTACAGTGAATTGTCCAGATAAGACTGGTCTTGGCTGTGACCTCTGTAGGATAATTTTACTCTTCGGGCTTAGCATTACCAGAGGAGGTAATCAATAATTTGACTGCCCTTTTATCATTTACTTTAATCTAATTTGTCCTTTTGTGTTTTTAATGTTGATGTTTTCTATGTTTTTCACTAATTTTTGTTCCCAGATTTATGTATGCAGGACTTATTTTGGATGATATACGATGTTGTTGGTTTTTTTTTTTTTTTTTTTAATGCCATTTTCCCGCTTCGGGGAGCACAAACGGAGATCGACCTGCCCGGTCAGGTCGCGGGGGTCGAGAGGGCAGCGCCCCCGAAAGAGAATTTTGATTTCTCTGCATGTATTGAAGGGTATATTTGGCATTTCGAAAACCAATATCGGATGAATGAGAAATTACGAAAAAGGACGAAAATCAGTGAATAGACACTTTTTCATAAAGGTGCATTGTTTGGAAAAGGTGCATGGTTTGGTCTCAACCATTTCGTCCACACCCTTTCATGGTCTATAAATAGGACCCTTTGGGTGTCCTATTCCACACAATTTTGATATGCAAAAACGTCTCTCATCCTTTCTTCTATCCAAAATCAAAATCATTTGTTTTGATTTTCCTTCATCCTTGGAGTATATAAACCTAAATTTGGTTCGTTGTACTTGTGTTTTGGAGTGTTACAAATACAAGTGTAGCCGTTGTATCTTGGGAGTCGATTGCCGAAATCCGTAAGCACCGTTGCGGGGCAAATTCGACTTAAGGACAAAGAGTCCAACTCTTGCCTCGACTTTGTCCCTAACCATCATTATTCTTATTTTGGCGTCACTATTCACAAAATTCTTCCAACACTTCCTGTTGACAAGAAAATTTCATACTATTACAGCCTTTGTTAAGTAACACTGGACGGGATTGGACCGTATTGAAGGGATTAGACAATACTTTGAACTTAAACTTGTCATGTCCTGTCCGATATTGTGTGTCAAACATGTTCAAGTTAAAATTGTGTGCTCAGTTGGCGAATCTGGTATTTCCAATGAATAATTTTGAAGATGATACTGTTTCTTGAAATTTCTTCTAATTTTTCAGATAGAAATCTTTGAGATTTGAAGCTTAGCCCACATTATGAGATCTATCATTCTATCAATAATTTTTGCATTTTCTGTTTTTATGGATTAAGGATTTTAAGAAAATTAACTGTACACTCTTTGATTTTTTGATGAAACAGATGTTTCTACAGATGGTAAATGGTGTTACTTGGTTTTTTGGGTAGTTGCTAAGCCAACAACAAGGTGGAACTTGTTAAAGAAGAGACTTCTTGAGGTGTGTCCAACATGTACCCCAGCAGCATCTGGAATTTACTACTATATGCCAGAATTTCAGCAGCGAAGGCCACTGGACATTTTCCTACTTAAATTTTGGTGTTCCCATGATCGGAAAGGCCTTTTACATGGTAAACTTTCTTTTTGATGGAACATAGAGCTTAAGCATTTATGAAGGCTTAGGTATGCTCTTGGGAATTTGAAAATAATTATTTTACGCTTATTGAGAGTTTTTCAATGCCACCTGTCAATATACTCAATAAAATTCGATACCCTTCGATGTGAGAGCTTCTCTCATGATATAGAACCAATCGAACTAAATGGTAAAAACAATCTATCTATATACATGGTACAATTATAATTGTAATATAGCCGTAATTTTCGATAATTTTCGTAATATTTATTTAACCTCATTAACATCCCCCTCAAATTGATGCTGGTAAAAGCATTAATTTGCAATTATGAACTGGCAATGGTGATAATAATTTTGCCCATGAAGAAGAAATCCAAAGTAGAACGACCATTCACGTAAATTAGTGACAACGAGAGACCAAGAACAACAAATAATGCAAAAACAACCAAGAGCTACTCCAAATCCACTTTAAGAATACTCCAAAGACACTCCAGGAGCTCACACCCCTTAAATAATTTTCAAAACAAATTCACGAAGTGCACCGACACATAACTCAGTGGAACACATAATTCGCGTTCTGACAAAAGCTCTAACACCAATACATCGGCCAAAAATGCAGCAATATATCGCTGACTAAGATGCTGTAGTTGGGAGAAATCCCACAAAATAGTCGACACAAAAAAATTCAAAGATGATCCTCCTCTGAGAATCCAAAACCCCACAAAGATGATCTTCATCCGAGAATCAAAACTCTAACTCATCACCCAAGCAACAAAAATTCAACGGTCTGCACTCTCATGTCTTCACTCACCCTCATGTTTTAGTCATTCTATATGTCATCTTCTTCAAAGTTTGTTGATGAAGAAGTTGAGTAGAAGAATATTTCTCCCAAATTTTAGCGTAATGTTGGGGGAGAAATTTCAACTCACAATAAAATTAATCAACCAATTTTGCTAGTCACCCGAATTATGCTAATAAATTAGCCCAGATAATGCACCCCAACAATCACCAAACTTATGTTAATAGAGTAGTCAAAAAAACTGGCCAAGTAATGCAACCCAACTATGATAAAAACTTAAAGAATCAACCAAAACAACCGTCCAATGTAAGAAATTAAGAGCTTCAACTCAAACTCAATTATATTGTTCTTTGGCCCACAAAAATTCCAGCCCACACAAGACAATCCACAATAAAATCAAACCAATTAAATAATTGGCCCAATTACTCCAATAGCCTAATAAATACACCAACCCACTAGCTTGCTCCTATAATTTCAACAGGCCCAACCACTACAAAATTCATATATTCCATGTACACAGCCCAGATACAATCCACATACACTCAATCCACCAAGCTCAACCGAATCCACAACCATTGACTTGGCCTATAACCTACAATATCTTCCTCAATCCTACAAACCTGCCGGAATTGTGTTGATCCCAAAAGGATTGTAAAGAATGAGATTTAATGATGATATGAAGTGGTGAAGATCACAATGATAAAACAAGATTAAAAGTAAACAAATAAATAAAGAGAATTAATCACAGAGGAACGATTTATTATAAACTGACAATATAGAGAGAAATTACAGACATAATAATAATGTTTATATGGAGCCATGTATTTATAGGTCATGTTTCAAACCCTAGAAGAGTCCTAGGAGGCAAGAAAATATATTGCAATTAGGAGATCCAATTTCAACGAGATTTTGTTTCCTCGTTGTTGAATGCAATTAGACTCCTCTCTAACACCAACAACACGTGATTCAAGACTCCTATTTGAGTCACAATTCTAACAAATTGGTGTGCCATCGTTTGACATTTTCAATAGTTCTCTTTGGTAACGGTTGTTGAAATCCCAGAGGGTAGGTTGAACGGATGAAGAGTAAATAAACTTCTTTGTTTTGGCCATCAATTTGGGATAATGGGTTTAGTGGGTCTATTAGGCAATATGTGGACAAAGACTCCTAATTTGATTTTGAAAAGGAAAATGAAACAATTGGCTTAATTCGATGTAGACCATATACCACAAGAACATCCAACCAAGAAAATGAGAGAAAATTCTAAGCAATTGGCTCCAGTAACATGTCAAATAGATTCTATAATACTCAATAAAACTCGATGCCTCTCAATGTAAAAGATTCTCTTATTATATAGAACGAAATCGAACTAAATATGGTAAAAGCAATCTATCTATATATGGTACAATTATAATTGTAATATAACATTAATCTTCGATAATCTTCGTAATCTTTATTTAACCTCATTAACACCACCCAATGGTTTGATCCGAAACCTTGCATAGAGATTTTGTTGTATTGGTCAAAGGATTATGGAGAACAGATATTATTGTACATTAAGATCGGTTTTAGCTAATTGTTGTCATATTATGACTTTCTACCTTGATTCATTTTTCCTGTTTGATTTAGTTTCTCGAGACTTCAATTTTTAATCCTTGCACAGATATCACCGAGGTTCTTTGTGAACTGGAGCTTACAATAAAACGAGTGAAAGTTTACACAGCACCAGATGGAAGAGTGATGGATCTCTTCTTTGTCACAGACATTAGGTTCGTTGCTTTACATTTTGTCTCTGAAGTTGACTCTTTGTTCTTAAAATTTCTGTATAGATAGAATATTAAAATAACATCATCTGAGAATCATCAAGGTTTTTTAAGAACTCATTTTTCACATGGGCATCTCTAAATTTTGTAGTCTGCTTATGACTGAGCAAAGCTATTCAACTTACATACATTCTCACTTCTGGGTCGGGAACTATCTATCTTTTGGTACAATTGAATACCTGCTAATTAGACTTGGTTTTCTTTCAAAGGATGCATTCTATTAGATGATTAAACTACGGCTTCTGGGAATTTTTTTACTGTAAAAAAGTTAGAACCAAATAGAAAGTAAAAAGAGACGTTTTCCATGGTATATACTACTCGGCTATGGTTACTAGCTTTTTAACTTCTATTTATTTCGATTGCCGCTAAATGTCCTGGTTGAATCCCTTTATTTAGTTTGCTATTGTGACATTCTGTCTTTTTCTGCGTCAGATATTTTACAAATATTAATACTAGTGTAGGACCATCTTAATGGTTATATGGCATTATCAAAGTGGCTGCCACTTGCTGATATGATTATCAACTCAGTTTGTCAATAAGTGGGGAGCCTGCATGCCACTTTTTCCACCTACTCTACCTTGCATTTAAGATACTGATAATAATATAATGATGTGATTAAGGCGTAAAAACAAAAAATTCATGAAAAACCTTCCAGTCCTTGTTGATTCACATATGAATACGACATTAAAAACTCGTTGATCACATAGAGTACCAATAATTTGGATAGACGAACCAAAATCATAGTGCAAGAGGGGAATTTAAAAACTACCCTAACAAAGATCTTAGTGCAAGAGGAAAATCTAAAAACTACCATAAGAAAAATCCTAATGTAAGAGGAAAATCTAAAAATTACCATGAGAATACTAAAATCACTAAAACTATTGAAGAGAATTCCTAATTTTCATTAGTGGGCTGCATCAAGGCTCCAGCTGCAGCAGTAACCAAAACACGAAAATGGTAGCCGGAGAAGCCGAATTAAACCATAATTTTTTTTTTTTAAGAGCTTCTTATTCTTGTTAGCAGTGTGTTTGAGAGTTTAAATTCAGGTTGAGAATGGATGAGAAGTCCTGATTCAAGATTATTTGACTGGGATGAGAGAAATATGTTGGAGTCAACTTTGAAAACCCTGTGGCTGCCTTTTATATTCTGATCATTCTTTCAACCTAAGACATCTTTGGATTTGATTTTATATTTTAATTAATGAGAGAGTTATCTTTCCTTATGAACGGTCAAGATAAATGGAATTCGGCATCAAACTCACCATTTCTCTTCCTCATTTGGGTACTTGTGTGAATTTTTTACTTTCAAATTAATTTCTATCTCCTAACGCAGGGAGCTTCTTCACACAACTAAAAGGCGGGAGGAAACTATTCAACATCTAAAGCTTGTATTAGGGAATGCCATGATTAGTTGTGAGATTGAATTGGCAGATCCTGAAGTTGCTGCACGCCTACAGTCATTTCTTCCATCTTCAATTTCAGAAGACACTTTCAGAGTAGAATTGCCCGGGCAACCCTCGAATGGAGTTCTTACCAACGAGTCTGTATCTGTAGTTATGGACAATTCCCTCAGCCCTTCCCATACGCTCGTTCAGATCTTCTGTCAAGATCACAAAGGCCTTATTTATGATATCATGAGAACACTGAAAGACTACAACATCCAGGTCTGTCTTTTAACTTCAGATCTTGGAATAAAGTCTTCTTCTAACTCATCTATCAAATAGATGAATCTTTAGAAAGAAAATTTCAAGTAAAAAGTTATCCCGTCTCAATTAACTCATCTTCTATACTTGAAACGAGAACGAGATTGTGTAATGACAATGCTACAAAAGAGTATTTAACTCTAATGTATGATCCTTTCCTGGATGAACCATATTGGAAAACTCATTTCCCACGAAAGAGGTGAATTAAATAGGAAATTCTCTTTATTCCATTGTTACTACTAGTTCTTAAAAATACGATATGAATGAACTTCTATGGTATGGTCTTACAGATTCAACCAGTTGTGTTGAATGTGGAATATCACTGAGTAATAGGAGTTCGTGTTGCACAGCTTGCTTTTTCTTTGGTTCTACTATTAGTCTCTGAATCGTTCTTACTGAACTGAATTGATGGCTAAGAATGATAACTTATTCTGAAATTTTTAGGATAGGCGTTGACTGAAATATTTCTGGTGAGGTCAGTGAGGTTGAGCAATTAAAAATATTTGTTTAATGATTTATTCCTGTTCTCAAGATTATGTTGCCTGGATCAATTTCAAGGTAAAAAAAAATAAAAATGTTCTGGTTCATTTTAGGTACTAACATAGAAAGCGTCAGGTTCTGAGACTCATTTAATTTAATAGGAAAATGAAGTTTGCAAAAATGCCTCTTGTTAACTGCCAAAAGTTGATCTTATATGCTCTTACATTGCACAATCTTCAACCTGTTTACAAGGATATTCTTACCTGACTTCCATTAATTGCACCAGATCTCTTATGGCCGGTTTTTTGCAAACCCAAAAGGGAACTGCGAGATGGACTTGTTTATAATGCAAGCTGATGGGAAGAAGATCATTGATATGCACAAAAAGAACGCTCTATGCTCTCGACTGAGAATGGAACTTCAACAACCTATAAGAGTAGATGTTGTGAACCGGGGGCCTGATCCCGAGTTGCTCGTTGTTAATCCAGTTGAGCTGTCTGGCAGGGGCCGCCCCCTTGTCTTCTATGACATTACCCTTGCTCTCAAAATTTTAAACATTCGCATCTTTTCGGTAATCAGATCTAACTCTCTTTATTTGTTTGATTCCTTTGATCTTTTGATAATTTTAGGGGTAGCTGCAAACTTTTTCGCCAACCTATTGCTCTAATAGTAGGTTGGACGGAAACTTACTATTGTAGTTGTACAGTCAGTTTTCAATGATGGAAACTGTGTAAATTTTCATTAAACTACCTCATCGCCCTTGTAAAAAATGCCTCGATACAAATTTGTGGGCATCGACCTAATTTGGGGAGTAAATCTAGCTCACAAAATTGGACGTCTGAAAGCAAGATGACGATTTGGCTGACATTTGGATGCTTCCATCATTGAAAACTATTATACAACTATAATGAAAAATAGACAATTAACTTGCCTCTTTTGTAGGTTAGGAGCCAACATCAAACTGTTGCGAACCAAATCACCAATTGTGCAATTTTCTTGTGTTTTTACATGGAATTGACGGTTTTGCAACTTCTGGTTCGATAAATTTTGCAGGTGGAAATTGGTAGATGCCAGATTCACGATCGAGAGTGGGAAGTGTACAGGATCTTGTTAGATGAATGGGATGGTTGTTCTGCCACCAGAAATGAGATTAAAGAATGTGTTAAGAAGAAGCTGATGGGTTGGGAATGATGTAGTCTATTTCATTTACTAGTTCTTCAACCCATTTACTGTACAGCATGCATATTTGTTTTCTTCTTTTTCTCTCTTTTCCTTGTACCCCTGCAGCTTCTAGGTTTAATTGTATAAAGCTTTTTAAGTAATTCACGTGCACCTGATTATTCGCGTTTGATTGTGCTTAGAAGGAAGTTAAATTTACCGTCATCTATTTGAATTGTTTTTTCAGACATGATTCTCAAAGTTAGTTCTTTTACGAGCAAATTACTTTCTAGAAAAGTATGTTTAACCACAAAAACCAACATGCTCAAAACCATGCCGATTGAATCACGTGTCTCGTCAATTGGAAAGAACCTTTGAACATGTAGCAGTATGGTAGAGAATTGGGAAAAACTGGTCTTTACCACTCAATGGTGCTCTCTCTCAAGATAGGTCTTCAAGTCACTGTATTCTGATAGGGCTTTGAGAGAGAGAACAAAAAATGCAAGAAATATCTAATTAATAAAGAAAAACTGGCTACAAATTGTTGGAATCAAACTATAATGAAGAAATTTAAGAAGTTCGATTCACATATAGACAATAATTTAGAACAGAAATTTTCATCAAATAAGAAAAGACAAACCCTTTTTTTTTTTTCCCAACTTTTTCCTGATCTATATGCTGCGAGCCTGAATATACCCGGTGGAAACCGCCGCCATTTCTTTCTCATTCTTTTCCATTTCATCCCTAAACCTCTTGTAGATATCAGTCTGGTAATATTTCCTTGTTCTGAACACCAATATCAATGAAACAAGAGCTCCAAATAAGTTCACACAGGCTAAAATCAAGAAAGATAGTCTGTAACACTGCTTCCCCATGCATGTTAGCTCGCGTACCATTGATCGTGTCATCCCTTTACTTGCAAGTTGTTTCAATGCCTCTCTATCGTACAGCTTTCCGACGGTTCTCACGTTAAATATGTATGATCCAAGAGGGCTAACCAATTGACCACAATTAAAGAGAGTTGAGTAATATTTCAATCCAAAAAGCTCTGAAATGATGATGAAAAGCACGGTCAATTGTATACCATAAGAGAATCCGATCAACAACGAAGCAATGTAGACTGATCCCGGAAAGGGCAACGCGATCAACAGGTCTCCGATGCATGGTAACACGAGGGAAAATGTCATCATAAGAGTACGAGGTATTTTCCATTTCAAAACTAGTTTTTCTGAGACAAACCCTGAAAAAACCCTACCAAAAAAGTTCCATATGCTTACTAGGGAAACAAATGTACTGACAGTATGAGTTGGATAGCCTAATGATTCACCAATTTGGCCTAAATTATCAACTGCAGTTAAACTGCAACCTAATCCACAAAATGTAGCCACATAAAGTATTATCATGTCTACACTTAGTAGGGCTTGTAATATTGTGTAATCTTCACCCCTTTTCGGTTTTTTGCATATGTTTTCATACCATGAAGTTTCTTTCTTTTCTTCGACCATGGGTTTCTCATATTCTACCAATTCCACGATTTCTGGCTCAATCTCTTCTGCAGGTTTTGATTCTGTCAAAGGTGGTTCCTCAACAAGAACCCCAGAAGGGGCTTTTTTAGCCTCCTCTTTGTTCAATCTCCAAGTATAAAATTCTTCTCGGATCGCAATAAGACATGGAAGGAAAAGCAAAGCACAAACAATAGTGGCACTTCCAATTAAGGCCTTATGAGAAAAATTAATATATTTTTGTGCTATTGTTAATCCCATTAAGACCAATGCCAAAGTAACTGATATTATCAGATTCTCATATAAAACATTAATCTCATTTGGATGCCTAGAAATTTTCAGTGCCCTAATGTTAAAGATGAAGAATATTGAAATCACTGCTGGGAGCCAACCGATGAGAAGAATTAAAGATTTACCATCATTTCCATATATTGCAAGATAAAGTTGGGTAAAAACTGCACCACTTAGTCCTACGTAACCCTTCATTAAACCCAGCAACATACCTCGGCCTTCTGGAAAGTTTTTCACACAAGTAACAACTGAACCCGTGTTTGCAAAATTCTGCGAATTCGCCCCAATGCATATATAGAGACACATTTGCCAAACTTTGGGTGTTGATATTCTTCTAGTCACTGAAAGCCATATCATAAAATAGCCTGCAAAATTCATGAGTGATCCGATCAAGAGCACGAACCATGTTGGTGTAACCTCGGCTATTAGGCCAGATAGAACTCCGACATTGGCTCCCAAATCTTTGCATGTGCTTAAAGTATTTAGGGTTGATTGATCATAGCCAAGCGTGGCCTTTATCACTTTTGAATAAACACCAAAGAGATAGGTTGCACCAGCGCCAGCCATTATCAGGAAGGAAGCAAACATCATGAACCACCGGCCGGTGAGGACTTGCACTGTAAAACGACACAATCCGCATCCTTTTCCTGGTGGAGAGTTAGTGGTAATCCCTGTTTCAGCCATCACGTATCTTGGTTCTTGAACAACTGAATAGGTTTCTGTAAAAATGTGAAAATTCGGAAGATTGAAATATGAATTAAAATTTGTTGATTACTTGATCTTTAATAAACGAAACCAGAACAATTTATAATTGCTGGAGATAAGATAAGGTATAGTTGTTAGAGATAAAATAGCTCTCTAATTTGAATTATCTGTTAAAGAACCTAATTTCCAGTTTCATATTCTATCTGTCTATATTTTACACATCCCTTTATTACTATTATTATTATTTTTAAATAAACTTTGAAAGAGAATTGAACAAATGTAAAATTTTAACAGATAGGGTAAGGTGGATTATAGTATATCTCTGGAGTAAAATCGATTTAATACTACTTATCAAATATGTGTCTAGCTAGGGTCGTAAAATCCAAGCAGTCCAATTTCCTTGAAATTCATGCATGTTAAGAAAGATTTTTCAGTTATATTTCTATCAATCAAAAACTTAAAAACCATATTCTTAATTATATATGGATAAGAATACTAAGAATTTGACTTGTTCACAGTATAAAGGATTAATTAGGGTAAATGTTTGTGATCTTCGGATCAAACTTGACTTCATGAATCAGATAACATGAAGCAGAAGTCTTGGAGTTGATAAATATATATGAACTCCTAAAGAAAAGGGTTCGAAGTATACTAATATTTTTCCCCCTTTTTCTGAAAGTCAATGTGTACAGAAATAATTTAAAATCGTTTCTTTCTTCTTTTAGATTCAGTTGGTTTAAATTTGTGAATTGATAACTTTCCGTTTTCGGATATAGAGATTATGCTGCAAAGAAAATTCGAAAACGACATGATATGGCAATCTGTCTGTTGCAAATACATTGATAAGTTAGTGAAAAATAAGTCATTTTTCTTATAGTAATTCATATTTCCTCATCGAAATTGGACATCGATTAACATCGATTTTTTCACATGTAGATAAGACAATCCATCACTAAATTGAAAATTAAGCGAAAACTAAACATTGGTTCACCCCATTCTACTGTTTTCTTCCCCTTGGCTACCTCCATTATTAATAGTGGTGGAGTCATTTTTGATTTGAGAGGACCTATTGGATTGCAATCGACTTACTCAACGGTAGCCGACAAAGAGTGACATATTGCCAATTAAGCTCTCAATTTTCTTATATTAAATTTAATCCGACCATATGCATTTATCATCAAATTTTCTAATTTGAATTGGAACCAAAATATGGATAAGGGGGCATGGAATACATATGGTGAGCTACAACAATGGTTAAAGAGCTATGTTATACTATTCAAGTCTCGACGACGAATTGATTTGATAGCTCAGATATTGTTATTTATGATATTGATCTGATTCAAGATCGTCGAGAGGTAATTCATTCATTGAATTTACAGACGATCATAAATTCGGATTTTATTTAAATTTTCCTTGATTGAGATTCAAATTCCCAATAAATTGGATCATTATTCCAATTGATTTATTTTGAAGCCGGGAACAAAATTAACTCAAAAAGATAACATTCAAATGAGAAAATTTCTCCTTTGGTCCTCAAATTTATTAATAGATGCATTCTAGTCTTAAATTGGAAAATTTTCAAATATATTAACCACTCACCAGACTCTCATGTGTCTAACATCACGAATTTGTATTTTGGTTTCCAACATGAGTCATGATAAAATTTTGAAAGTGAAATTTTTTTTCATTATAATTATGCGGCGGTTGAAAATAAATTTGTACACTTTGATATCGTCAACTAACCTTTATTTGTAAAATATTAAAAGAAGCTAATAATGTATTTTTTATCCGGTCAAATATTAATTTCAAAAATACACTCATAGCTACTATTCATTTACTTTCATGGGAGCCACTACTATTTCTCCTAAAAAGTTACGAATAATTGTACTTCTACGATTTAAATTTAACAATTACTTTTTCCTTTTAAAGATTGAGGATCAAATTACTACTTAGGAAATAGTCCGAGGATCAAGTTCTGCAATTGTCGTTAAAATGCCCAAATATCACTCGGGTCGGGTCACGCGCTTCTTCTGTTCGAAAGCTAGAGGGCCACAGAAAAGGTGAAAAAGAAAAAGAAAAAGAAAAATGAAAAAATAAAGTAGAGAGAGAGAGAGAGAAGCCGCTCCGGTATTCTCTTCCTTCCCTCCCATTTCGGATCTCCCTTTCCTTAATCGGGGAACCACAATTTTATCTCTCTAGATCATTGTTTTCATGGTGTATAGGTGGATTTCACTTTTTCTCATTCGTGGCTTAAATCTTCCAGATTTCGAATCGGTTTGATCAATTCAACATCGAATTTAAGGTATTTACATTTTATGCTTACACAATTTATATGTATGATATATGTTTTCACATGTATAACTGTTCATAGTTTGTTCGTTTATTTATTTTCTCCCATCTCCAGGATGCAAATTTATTAATCAAGTGGTTTGATGGAAACAAGAATAAGCGTAGGAGATAACTAGGAATTAGTATGACTAGTGTTGGTGTTAGTCTGAGTGCTTGTTTATCTTTTTAAATTTTGGGTGGTGTTTTAATTGGGGGAAAGTGATGTTTAACAAAATAATGAAAAGAGGGCAACGAAAGCCCTCAAAATCAGAAGCAATTGAGCCTCCTATACCGAGTACAGCAGCTCCGGATGTGACTGTGAATCATGCGTCCAGATTGCCGGCTGCTCCACCACAGGCCCCCGCCCATGTGCCTGTCCCACAAAACCCTGGAGTAGTCGAGGTCTTGCCCATGTTGAAGGATGTTCCATTGTCAGACCGACATGTAGTGTTCATCCGGAAACTTCAGAACTGTTGCATTATGTTTGATTTTTCGGATACGATGAAGTCTGCTCGTGAGAAGGAGATCAAGAGACAAACCCTTGCAGAGCTTGTTGATTTGGTGCAGTCAGGGTCTTGTAAGATGAATGAGATAATGCAGGAAGAGTTGGTTAAGATGATATCTGCCAATATTTTCCGATGTTTGCCACCTTCACAGCATGGTACGGTAATGGAGGGTGTAGATCCAGAGGAGGATGAGATGTTCATGGATCCTGTGTGGCCTCACTTACAACTTGTATATGAGTTACTTTTGAGATATGTGGTTTCATCTGATACAGACAATAAGGTTGCGAAGAAATATCTTGATCACTCATTTGTGTTGAAATTGCTCGATTTGTTTGATTCAGAAGATATGAGAGAGCGTGAGTACTTGAAGACTATTCTTCATCGAATATATGGGAGATTTATGGTTCATCGACCCTTCATAAGGAATGCAATAAACAACATTTTTTATCGATTTTTATTTGAGACAGAGAGGTACTGTGGAATTGGTGAGCTATTAGAGATTCTTGGAAGTATTATAAATGGATTTGCACTGCCAATGAAAGAAGAGCACAAGTTGTTCCTTGTACGAGCACTTATTCCACTTCACAAGGCTAAATGTGTTGCATCATATCATCAGCAGTTGTCCTATTGTATAACCCAATTTGTTGCAAAAGATTACAGGTTGGCTGATATTGTCATTCGGGGTATGCTAAAGTACTGGCCAGTTACAAATTGTGGTAAGGAGGTTCTCTTCCTTGGAGAATTAGAAGAAATATTGGAGGTTACGCAGTCTGCAGAATTCCAATGCTGCATGGTTCCTCTGTTTAGACAAATTGGACGATGCCTCAACAGCTTGCATTTCCAGGTTTGAGAATTCTTTATGCGCAGCACCCATAGTATTTTATTTGTTGCTTTAAGTCATCAATCTATGCAATTTAGTTTTCTTAGAATTATAGCTCTTCTGATTAATAATGTATTAACTTTAGAAATCAGTTTTCATAATGGCTAATGAGTAGTTTGTTAGATTGCACACAATTTTCTTAGCTTGGTCTTTGATTGAAGCTTTATATAAAAAAGGTGAATCCTTTAGTTTTAGTATTGATTGATTTCTTTCCTGCGGAAGTGGTATTATTCAACTAAAGATAAATAAATCGATTGTGACAGAAAATGTTGTACTTTGAGACATTATGTAAATGTAAAATATGAAGGACGTGGAAGTTATTTATTTTGATTTTGTTAGAAATTTCTGACATGTCTAAATTGAGACCTGTCCTGTTGTCTATCCACAATCATAGAATGGAAACTTATTCTGAGCATCATCCTTGTACCCTGTCTAGCTTGATACGAAAAAGACCATCATTTCAGCTTTCTCTTCCTCATCCTATTTCTAGAAACGGTGATTTTCCTTTTTATTTTTATTTTTTAATCAAGAGAAGATTTTATTTGTATATTTGCTTTTCGGGATATAGCGTACTGGCATCTATTAGAGTTTTAAGAATTTGCCTTTGCAGAATTGTGAATCTACTGATAAGCAAGTATTGGGTATAATGGTATATAATGTATGATAAATAAGTGGTAAACCTACTAAACTGACATGTGAAAGCCTTTTAATGTATAATTTCATGTTACAATTGCTAACATATAAAAGGAAAAACGTGATATCAATCAATTCACGAGATGACCTGGATTACGATGGTTTCTATCTGCATCATATTTGAATCTTTATTCTGGTGCATATGCAATGTTCCTTATATCTATTCTAAATCTAGAATAAGATGTCTAAGCTGATCTTAGATTAATCCTGAAGTGGGTCATGAAATGGAATGATGAAGCTTCAGAGATCACCATTGTAGTCATTGCCTGTTGGAAAATATTATATTGAATACGATGATGCTATTTAGAATATCAGAGATGGTTTAGCTTTCATTGTGGTTTAGCTTTCGCTAAAGGTATATCAAATACTACAAATAATTCTATGATAGGCGTCTGGTCCATATCACCTATTCTAGAAGATCCAAGAAGGTTGGAGAATCAGCTGGAAGGCAGGCTTAACTAAATTCTGTTACAAATGCACATGGGAAGAGGGAATATATCTGTTAGATGCCGATTATATATAGGGGAGAGAAATAAGAGATAGTCAGGCAAATATTTGAGTGAGCAATAAAGTAGTTGGTTCTTATTTACATCCTTCTTCAGGCTTTATGTTCAGTCCAGTTTCTGTAATCACCCGTTTTAATCAAATAATCACTTATTCCTCAGTTGAACTTGTTCTTTCCAGTTGGTATCTTATCAATTGGTATCAGAGCATTAATATCCTGATGGCACAGAAGAAAACGGAAGGCAGGGTAGAAGCAGTGGAGAAAGATGTTGAGGAAATGAAGGCAGAGATGCAGCAGCTTCCAGGTCTAGCAAAATCAGTAGAACAATTAACCCATAGCATGGCAGTAGTATTATAGTCCATAGAAGAAACCAGGAAGGCGGTGGCGTCAATGGCAAATTCAGGGAGTGGGAAGAGTAAAACTGTGGAGAAGGAAGGATCGAGCAACATTACTGGGGGATGGCCGACACAGAACAAACAGCCGGCAAGCATGGGTGAACTACGCAGTCTGGATCGCGGAAAGTGGCCGGAGGGATCAAGCGAGGCTACTTTCGAGGAAGGTACTGCCATGACGGATCAACACAAAGGAGGGGAAAATTAGCGGAAAATACGGAAACTCAAAATGCCCATTTTCAGTGGGGTGGACCCGGATGGGTGGTTTTTCCGTGCCGAGAGGTATTTCGATATTAATGGGCTGTCAGAGCATGAGAAACGGGGAGCAGTAGGGGGTCATCCTTGATGGAGACGCCCTCTCTTGGCTTCAATGGACGAAGGCAAGGACACCATTCCAAAGTTGGCAACAGTTCAGGCAGCAACTGCTGTTGAGATTCCGGCCATCACAGGAGGGAAGCATGTGCGAAAAATTCCTCGCCATAAGACAAAAGGGTACTGTTGCAGGATTTCGTCGTGAATTTGAGGTGTTAGCTGCGCCGTTGAAGGACATTTCAGATGAGGTCCTGGAAAGTACATTCGTTAATGGACTTAAGCCTGAAATTAGGGCCGAAATTCGAGTATTGGGCCCAAGAGGACTGGGCCAAATTATGGAGTTAGCCCAGAAGGTGGAAGACCGAAATGCCATAATTAAAGAGGCCCATGAACTCACAATCCATAGATCCAACAAAACATCTCAAAATCGCTTGGAAGCAAAGAAACCAGAGACATCGTTTCCAATAAAGACGGTCACGGTAGGGGAGAACTTGACCACCAACCGGAGAGAGTTTCCCACCCGATGCATGACAGACGTTGAGTGGCAGATGAGGCGGGACAAAGGCCTTTGTTTCCGTTGTGATCAAAAATTTACTGTGGACCTTCAATGTAAGAACCGTGAGCTACGTGTCTTGCTGGTGGAAGAAGATGACAGCGAAGAAGAGGGGATCTTCAAAGATCAGGTAACGGAACCGCCCCTGGACGTCTCCGACAAGGTGGAGCTGTCACTGAACTCGGTGGTCAGATTGACCACACCGGGCACCATGAAACTTAAAGGGACCGTAGGGTCTAGTCCAGTAACAGTATTGATCGATTGTGGGGCAACACATAATTTTATTTCTCTAGAATTGGTCCGAAAACTAGGGATTCCAACAACAGCGACAACCAACTACGGGGTGGTGATGGGAACAGAAGAATCGGTAAGGGGGAAGGGTATATGTAAGAGTGTGGTTTTGGAGCTTCAAGGGTTGCGTATAGTCGAAGATTTTTTGCCTCTTGAATTAGGAAGTACAGATGTGGTACTGGAAATGCAATGGCTGGGAAGTTTGGGCAGCATGGAAGTTAACTGGAAGCTCCTCACCATGAATTTTCGTATGGGCGAGGCCTTGGTAACATTGAAGGGCGAATTGGGACATAACAAATTTGGAATTTCATTAAGGGCAATGATGAAGGCTTTACAGAATGAGGGCCAGGGAGTTTGGGTAGAATTAGATAGCTCCTCTCATAAGTCGGTTGGGGTGACGACTGGGGTGAAGTTAGCTAAGGGAGTACTGGAGGTGCTACAGAAACATCAACAGGTGTTTGAAGAGCCACAGGGGCTACCTCCCAACTGAGACACAGACCACTCAATTCAGCTAAAGGAGGGAACTGATCCAATCAGCGTCAGGCCTTTTCGATACCCCCACCTTCAGAAAAATGAAATTGAAAAACTGGTCCGGGAAATGCTAGCGGCAAGGATTATTCAGCCGAGTGTCAGCTCATTCTCAAGTCCGGTGTTGCTCGTCAAGAAAAAAGATGGCAGTTGGCATTTCTGTGTAGACTACAGGGCATTAAACAAAGCAACAATTCCTGATAAGTTCCCAATTCCCGTGATCGAGGAGCTTTTAGACGAACTTCATGGGACAACCGTGTTCTCGAAATTAGACCTTAAATCTGGGTACCATCAAATAAGAGTACGGAAGGAAGATGTTCACAAGACCGCATTCCGAACGCATGAGGGCCACTATGAGTTCCTTGTCATGCCTTTTGGTCTCTCAAATGTGCCGGCAACTTTCAGTCGCTAATGAATCTGGTCTTCAGGGAGTACCTCAGAAAATTTGTTCTGGTTTTCTTCGATAACATTCTGGTGTACAGTAAGGACCTTCCAACTCATGAACAGCACTTGGAAAAAGTCCTTACTTCTCTAGCTGCGCATCAGTTATATGCAAAACGCCAAGAAGTGTATCTTTGCTCAGAAACAAATAGAGTATCTCGGCCGCCTAGTATCTGAACAGGGAGTGATAGCTGACCCAAAGAAGATAGAAGTAATGGTGTAGTGACCGACCCCCCGTAACATCAGAGAATTAAGGGGATTTTTGGGTTTGACAGGGTACTACAAGCTTTTTGTGGCAGGCTACGGTGCAATCTCCTGGCCACTGACACAACAACTAAAGAAGGATGCATTTGGGTGGAATGAAGAAGCAGAAACAATATTTCAAAAGCTGAAAGATGCCGTGACAACCGTACCAGTATTAGCCCTACCAGACTTCTCAAAACCCTTCATCATCGAAGCTGATGCATTAGGTCATGGGGTAGGAGCAGTCCTTATGCAGGAACAACAGCCCATCGCGTATTTCAACCAGGTGTTGTCTACTAAATCGCAACACAAATCAGTCTATGAAAGGGAATTGATGGCGATTGTGCTGGCAATCCAAAAATGGCGTCATTATATTTTTGGACAAAAATTCATAGTTCGCACCGATCAGCGTAGCTTAAGGTTCCTCCTCATGCAAAGAATGATTCCGATGGAATTTCAGAAGTGGGTGACCAAATTACTGGGATACGAGTTCGAGATACAGTACAGGCCAGGGAAGGAAAATAAAGCTGCAGATGCTGTGTCTCGCATTCCCAGCCCAGTCGAACTAGCGGCTCTTACATTTCCTCAAGTGTTGGACGTCTAGTTAATTCACAATCAGGTCATTGATGACCCACAACTCTCAAAGATAATAAAGGAGCTACAGGAAGACCCAGACCTCCATCCCAAATATTCACTCGAGCAAGGCAGGCTGATGTTCAAAGGGCGCCTGGTCATCCCTCACTCTTCTACACTGATCCCCACTGTTCTTAAGCAGTTGCACTGCTGTACCTTGGGAGGTCACTCTGGGTTCCTTCGAACCTACAAAAGGGTGGCTAGCAACTTGTACTTGAAAGGAATGAAGAAAGATATCAAAAAAATGGTTGATGAATGTACAGTTTGCCAACAAAACAAGTCACTTTCCCTCTCTCTAGCTGGACTACTACAACCCCTACCAATTCCCTGCCGGATTTGGGAAGATATCTCATTGGACTTTGTTGAAGGCCTT